AAACAGTATCACTATATAGATAGAGTGTCCCTCACATATATATATATATATATATATATATATATATATATATATATATATATATATATATATATGCTGGCTGTGATTTCACTCAGGTTCCCAGGGGCCCTGAGGTAAAGACAGTTTTATGTTCTGACAACACGGCACTGTCTGCAGTTCTGTGTGTCGGTGTGCACACTAAAAAAAAAAACAAACAAGCGTCTTTTCCGCTCCAGTGCCCACCGGCATGGTGTTTAAGCACAAACTGTGGTTTTTCCGCACTGCACCTTCTGAGACTGAAATATAAAATATTTTGTCTATACATGAAGCAAAAAGAGGAAGTTCTCCATGTATTTATTTTTCAGTATTTAAAATAAAAAAAAATTAGACACAAATTGGAGAGACAATGTTTTGGTTTGTAATCGTTTCATGCTAAACCTCTTTCATGGAAACCGAAACATCTTCTTTTCTTCATATTTAAATGTCAAACATGAGACGTTTTTATTGTATTTTTTTTTTTCATTGTAGTCTTCACAATGAAATTACAAGTGGACAAGAACTGAAGCAGTAGGAATCGGTTTTTCATTTCAAAACGCTTGTTTTCGTTACGCGGGCCGTAAGCCTCTCGCGTTGATTGATCCCTTTTTTTGTAAAACATAAAACAGGTTTTATAAAGTAAAGTCCCGTCATATCATAAATTTGTTCCGTCTTAAAACAAAGACAGATTTTGTCATCTCTTAATACGGTTTCAGTGCTTTAGTGTTTACATTTAAATTGAAAGTTTGACTTATTTGATCGTCATCCAAAGAAGAAAATGAAAGATTAATTAAAAAGTCAGCTGGTTGTTCTCCAGAGCAGTCCCATCTGTGCTCTTAACTTGCAGGGAGGAAGACAGTTTGACAGGGACACCTGTAATAGCCTTGTAGAAATAAAACAGCACAGACAGGCAATTCCATGATCGCAGAAAACCCATCCGACACCAAGAATCACTACGATGTACGTAGATATGAAGAAGCGGTCAGATATGTTGTAAAAGCTCACCACAGGAAAACCTTCAGACGGGCTGGTACAAACAGAAATGAGGATCTATGGCAACCAACTGTGTGTGGATGTAACATTTCGTGAACCGTGTGCTGGAATCTGGAGGAAAGGTTGTGCTTGTCTTTTGTGGTTTACAGAAAATAGAAGGAAAAATAAGTAAAGTTAGAGAGGGGAAGAGAAAAAGATGGAAAGTGAGAGGGAGCGATGTTCGTGGTCGGTAACCCGCTCAAAAGAGGAAATACCAGGTGCGCACACACACACACACACACACAGGTGCAAAAACACAGAGGCCGTAGACGAGCATAAAGACCTGCTTTGTATCAACTAAATGTTTGGTGTTAATCTGTGTGCATTTGTGCATATGTATGTGTGTTCTGGAGCTTGCTGAGAAAGCAGGGTGAGGATTCAGTCACGGGGAGAAAGAGGAGGGAGGAAGAGGGACGAGAGTGAAGGGCTTCAAGTGTTCTTCACTCACCTAAGGCTCCGCCATAATAATTAGAGGGAGTAATTTTAGCTTGGAGGAAACCATATATATTTTTTCTCCTCTTCTCTGAGTTTTCTTAACCGAAGACAACGCAGACGGGTTTTAACGAGCCCAGAACACACTCTGACTCTTTGTAGCGAGCAGATACTAAAGTCTGACAAAATATCCGAATAAACTATCACTTTATGCAGTACTAGAACTTGTTCTGCACATGCTCATGTTTTTTCTTTTGTTTTTTTTTTATCAAGAAACGGTGGAAACGTTTAAGTTGAGTTCCAAAAGACGACTTTATATGTGGCTCTTGTTGCTTTGTGTGCTAAACAGTTTTGCCACCACAATTGTAGCGGCAAATATTTGATGTTTCTTTAACATTTGGAGAGATCTACTTTGACTATTCAATGCGCTAATAGAACTTAAAAAAAGTGAAGGCGTGGTTTAAAAAAATTAAATAAAATAGGTGACTGAAACTGTTTGCGATGCTATTGTTGATGTGACTGCCAACTACAAGCCTGTCAGAGAAACTTCAGTGATGTTTTAAAATTTTTATTTTCTCATCTCCATGTACATACATTTTTAAACATTTTCCATAATGGGCGTCTAAAGTCATCTCCTCTGACATATAAGAAAGGCAGAAAAGTGACACGTTCCAGAGTGAATGTCTCCCTTTTCTTAAATAAATTGTAAGCAAATCCGAAAATATGCTTCATCTTTTGAACGCCACATTGTTAAGCAAATCAACAAGAACGAGCAGGTTTCCATCCATGTTTTGGACAAATGACAAATATGCATTTCTGTTGATGAGACACTTTGTGAAAGTACCATTTGTGTTGGCGTGTGTTTGCGTGTGTGTGTGTGTCTGTGGGATGTGCGCAAGTGATTTGTGTAATGGCCCAGATCCTTCAGGAAAGCAGTCAGCAGACAGTTATTTGTGTTTTAATGAAGGAATCGGAAACATGGAAAAAAAAAAAAAAAAAGAATGCAAAGTTTGATCCAAGATATTCCGGGAAAAGTTTTGACACAATGGACAGTGTGAGTCTGAGTCGGCACATAAATGTTTGTGCAAGCAAGAGTCGGTCTGACACGCAGGAGAAAAAACAGCATTAATTTCTGATGCTTCAAGCTGACGTGTTAAACACAAACAAACACCACTTCATGAATCAGTGGAAGGGGGAAAAAAAAAAAAAAATAGCAGACAGAGCTGACTCCCACAACTTGTGACACACAAGTTTACACTTCTTGAGCATCAAAGTGTCTTTGGAGTGTTTGGGTCAGGCAGAGATGTTAAGCTGGCTCTTTTCACATTTTGAGACGTTTCCTTCTGTTTCCATGAAATAATATATCAACGGGAATCTTGTGTGCGTGCATTTTTATGGTGGACAGCGTCCCAGTGGAATTAGTCGGCACATTGCGAGTGTGAGGTTATTAAAGAACTGACGAGCAAAGCTGTGGAAGCTGTTCGCTATTCGCACAGGAAAGACACCGACAGTGAAAAGAGGCTGGCCATCTAAATGTTGGCACATCTGTATGACATCACAGCCTGGTGCGTAGAAGGCATGGGACGGTTTACGCTATGGCAAGGTATTAAAAAGTTATGGTTTTTAAGAACATTGATGAATTTTGCATGTTACTGTCCGTGCGATTTAAAGCCAGTGTTTTCTTCTGCTATATTTGAAGTTACAAAGTAGTGCAGCGCTGGCCGTCCCCCACCTGAGTGTTTCACTTTTCTGACACATCTTACAATTAGAAAAATATTTAATTAATTAGTTGATGCCTGTCATAAAGTTTGAGAATAAAAAAAAAATCCAAACTGTTTTTTTTTTTTTTTAAAGTAAAATGATAGGAATCGATCTGCACCCATCCCCTAAATTTGAATGTTTTGTGGCATTACTGTCTCTTACTTCACAGTGAACGTGGAGGGAAGTGTAAGATATGCAGCGATGAACCCAAAACTGCGAGTTGAGGACAGTCGGATCAAGGACTATAACTTCATCGCATGATCCGCCTCTTCAACCACCTGAACAAAACAGCATCCTTCTTGCCATGGCTTTTGCTTTTTTGTGCATAGACAAGCTTCTTTTTTTGCTCCATCACTGAACGAGACAGAGAGCAGGCACCAGCGGACGTGTGCAGTAGGATGTACCTACAGTGCTGACAGAAAATGCCAAATTCCCATAACGTCATCCGACTTGTCCATGATACATTAACATGTGTGCCAAGCACAGGATGGGTGAAGTAATCTGTAAATATAGAAATGAGTTGGTTCCAGATTCCTACAAGAGCAGAGCAGCAAAACTGGATTTTTTTTTTTTTTTCTTCTTTGCAAAAAGCCCTTAAAAGCTAAATTTAACCGGCGATTATTCTGGATTTTTGCTGTAGCCTTTGTATGAAAATAAAATACACAAACATATCTCAAATATATTATTTTACTCACAGTGGAAGCAATTACTGTTTTACTGTGTCAAGTAAAAGCAGTTAGATAATATGAGCATTTTTTGTTGTTGTTGTTGTTGTTGCCGTTTTAAATTCTTGTGTAATTGTTGTATGCCAGCACTTTACTCAAGGTTATTACAACAGTAGATAAACGTGCTCAGGCCTGTTGTGTACAAATTGTTCTGTACAATTTGCTGTGCATAAACGTGTTGCACAAGTTACTGATGTTGTAAAAAAAAAAAAAAAAAAGAAAGAAAGTCTTCCTCTGTATGCATCTCATATGAACTGGAGGACACACAGGGGCCAACAAGCTCAAACACACACATTCACACACACACACACATACCTGTTGCTGCTGCAGGTGCAGTAAGTCGACCGGACTGATCTCCCCATTGGTGTCTCCATTGGACCCACCCTCTCTGCCTCCCCCTCCATCAGATTGGCTGCTTAGGCTGCTGACTCCATTTTGGTTGGACGGTGTTGTTCGAATGGTCTCAGAGGCTGATTCCACCATCATCACTGGCACCTACATGGAAAGACATGAAAGGAGGAAGATCAGACTCAAGTGATCACAACAGATTCAGTAAAATGCTTATCTGACTAAAAACAAGCATAACAGGAAGATTGACAGATATACAGCATGGGATTGTGTGTGTTTATCTAATATTTAAAAAAAAAGACTTTTGGGGATTAACTTTTCACACACAATACAAAAAAAAAAACACCTTTGGCAGAAACTTTTTTTTTTTTTGTACTCGTGTGAATGTGGGCTCTGACACTCATGGATTAAGATCAGATGAGCAGCAAAATTTAAACTGACAAGGCTCTTAATACTCCACTATACAGTTAAATAACACACACATTTCTCCAATAATCAGATATGGCATGTGTGCGCCGTGTGCAAGCCGGGATCAGGCTGGTCTTTGAGACAGATCTGTTTGATGCACCTTCAGAGGGGCCTCCCTAATTAGAGCGTGTTCCCTGCACAAAAACCTGACAAAACGAGCCGTTCCTGGATGTGTTGTTGTTTTTTTTTTTTTTTTTTGAGAAACAACGCCTCGCAAACACACAGGAGCATTTGCCATCGTTAGGAGCCAAAGCGTGGGAGAGCGGAGACGTACGCACACAGAGCGCACACACGCACACTCACAGCAAAACAAAACAAACCTTCACACAAGAACGCAGGGGCTGTGAGCTCCTAATGACGGCCTCTGTCTCGTCTTTCTGCCTCATCCAGTTTTGGAAATTAGCGCACACAAGTGCACACTTTTAAAGGGGGAAAGTTCGGCTGCTTTTATTCCAGCTACCTGGAGTGGGTACACAAAACGCCATCGAGGCATTCTACCCGCCTCCTGTGTTGCGACTGTGTGTGATTTTTCAGAGGCGTACAAGCCATGCCTTCTGGGGAAACAATAAAAGCCATTTCATGAGAGGATCTAACTTTTCTTTTCCTCTGAGGCAGGAGCAGGTGAACTTGTGTGTATGTGTGTGTGCATATATATATATATTTATTTTTTTTTTCTGTGAGACTGACAGCGGGTGCGGGTGTGAGAGATTGCTGGTGGCTTTGTTAATGGAATGCTGCCAGATGCTTGCAGACGGACAGGGACCTGAGCATATTACTGAGTGTGGGATACAAGCATGTGCAGGCAGATGGGCTGGTGGGTGTGCTTGTTAAACGGGCCACTCTTTCAAAGGACAGAAACACATTTTTCTTGCTGAGGTGGCGTCCTGCTAAGTCGATAGCTGTATTATTTTCCTAAACTTTTCGCATTACCTGATGATCTGTTCTGCTGACTGTTGTCATGAGGAGGTTTCACAACAATTTGCAACGCGTTTTATTTGAAAGTACTAGTCACGGCAATGATTTGAAATTTTAACAACGCATGTCTGACAAAACAAATGTTGCTTTGTGGGTTTTTTTTTTTTTTTTTATTGAACAAGTCTTGCCCGGAACGAAAGTTAAATCTCAGCGTCTCTAAAACAGAGTTGTTGCTAATCAAAAATATTTCCAATACTAGATACTAAACCTTTAAGCTTTGTATCTATTGGTTGAATATAATGATGTGGTCAACAGTCGTCTATACCGAAGCTTCATCTACTCCATGTTATTTAGTTTGACTTTCTAAACTGAATCTTAAGACACTACACTTGCTGATTCGAGATCCAAAGTAAGGAGGCTAATCCCAACCTTTGGGAACTACTGATTTAAGCCAAAGGAAAAAAAAATCCAACAGAAGAAAGCTAAAAGGAAGCTGTTGAAAATATTTAAACAAAATCAGAAAGGAAGTTTGGATGACCTCCAAGTTTTTGGCAATAAGAAAGTTTATTAAATCTAATGTGTTACTCTGCCAGCCAGTGAACTTTGCTCAGCTGAACCAAAACCTGACAGTTTCCAATAGTTCAAACCTTCATCCAGTAAAGGCAGCACCACCTGACAAATGACTAATCTAGTGGTGAAGCATAAGATTTGCTATGAATGCCTCTAATTCTTAATGATTAAACACGATGGTGGTGTGCGACGCCCTTTTAGGTGTTTGCTATTTTTAACTGTCACTGCTAATAAGGAAACTTCCCTTGGCTGCGTCATTCATGGCAACCCAGCGTATATGTGCCAGAACCAGATATGGCGTTCTTGAATCACTGCCTCCCCAACGTCCTTAAACATCAGCTTGACGATGTGCGCCGTCACATGGATGCCGCGAAGCCAGCTAACCTTTACACAAGTCTGCTTTTGTGTGACTGTCTCGGTTGGCAGCTCAGAGGCGGAGTAGCTACATCCTTACTCCAGCCACCTGTGACGCCTCAGTCCTTTCAGAAAATCCACAGAGATGGCAAAAAAAAAAAAAAAAATGGGGCTGGGTTCTGACTTCAAAGCCTCTTTCGCAACATGGTTTTGTAGTAAACACACAACTACGAACTTCCTCAACCACCATGAGTTGGTTCACTTGAAATCGCACAATGTGATCACAGGCAAAGTGAGCATGTAGATCATGTAGCTGAGATTGTGGAATCAAATTGGCATCGGCTTACAAATTGTGGCCTCCACCTGCAAAGGATTTTCCCCAAGGCTCAGTGCTGTTTTTTTTTACACTCTTCACTGTTCAAATGCAACGCTTTAAATCCAAGCAAAGTTGTTAAGCACTATCCTTGGCACGTTATCGTCTTGATCAAATTCTGCTGATCAAAGCGCTTGAACACTGGAAGATAATACGCTGCATCTGTTTAGTCTCAACCAGCACACTAAAAAGCAGCTGTTGCTGTCTTTCCCGTCTAAAATGTCACACTTATTTAGCAATCTCATATTAAACCTCCTTGTTCACAGTGATAACAGGTTTAGTACTCCCTCCGGACGTGTACCAGGGGGAAGGGGGTAATATTGGTGGGGGAATTTCAACGCTCCAGTCCAGGTCCCTTCAGTTGATCCAGAGGTGTGATAAATGTGTGTAGATCACAAAACAAAAACAAAAAAACTAATTTCTGAAAGAGGCCTCAGTGTGTTGCGGAAAATGCTGTTGTATTCCCGGTATCGATACTTCTGAGAATCCAGGACTGAGAAGTGAAGTGTTATTGCGACATTTAAGGTTAGTCACTTTAACGTTGGACCTCACTCCTCTTGCTACTCGCCTCCAACCCATCCACTTCCTCTTCCCTCCAGACCTCTCATGGGTCAAATTACTCCCCGAGGCAATATTATGAAACGAGGCATAGTGCTGAGTGATCAGCACATCTTGCCACACAGTCCACTGACTTTGCACTGCAGTAGAAACTCCTCACATCATCACACATTTCACCGAGCATGAATCACCAGGCTGCTATCTAGCCTACGCTAAATCGAGCCGTCCTGTAATGTACTGTACACCCATCTGCTTCTTACTCTTCGTCATTGACCTTATTAGCGGCGAAGACGAGGCCGATAAAGAGACGGAGCTCACAGGTGGACAAGGACCTAATGGGAAAGCGGGGTATGTGCACGGCTCACGCCCTGCTTTCGCACCCAGTCACTGTGGGGCTACGCTCGTCTAAAGGGTGTGTACTTTGTCATATCCTGTAATGGGTGTATATAAGCTGGTGTAATGGAGGTCGGGAAAAAGGCAGGGGCATAAATCTACCCTGAAGTCTTTGATTAGGGTTATGATACACACATACACACACACAGAGACGGCTTTAAGTGTTTCTGGCAGTGAAGAGGAGCTACCCGTGCAGAGGCCTGCCTCAACCCGCCGTCACTCTTTCTGCATGTCTTTTTCTCGCACTTTCAATCTCCCCACATGCTAAAACCCCCCTCTCTCTCTCTCTCCCTCTCTCTCTTTTGAGCTGAACCCCTGACCTGAGAGTGTGTGTGGAGAGACATTCCCACTACCCCGAGGGGACTGAGCGAGGGAGGGGCACAGATCAGAGAGATAAAGAATGTTTGGAGGAGAGGGAAATAAAAGGCCTTTTTTGCCTTTTAATTGGGATAGCGAAGACAAGAAGCGAAATGGGACTCAACATGTTTCTGATGACTCTGGCATATGCATGCTTGTGTATGCATGTGTGTGTGTGTGTGTTTGTCCAGGAGGGCTGACATCTACCTTTGTACTGTAATGGATTAGCTCACAGCAAGCACAGAGTGCATGTGTTTATATGTGCATCTGTCGTGATTGATGAGCGGGAGAGGAATTAGGATGAGTCCTGTTAAGACACGCTGCTTGTTCAGAAGTTCCCGAAAATTTTAGCACTATTAATAATCAGAACTCATCGCTCCCGCTTCTTCCCACTGCTGCTCGCCCTGGGTGTTTAGAGTTCAAACAAGCCGAGCCAAATGCCTAGTGAGCCAGCTCACCGTTGCAGACTCTCTGGCTTTGTCCGAGGGATTGGCCCTGTCAGATTCCTCTTGGTCACCGCTTGTCAGCCATGGAAAGCCAGACCAGATTTACTTTTTTTGGGTGCGCAAGAGGGGGTTGGGAGCGAGTTGTATACAGCTTGTATTTATGTGTGCATGTGTGTTTACAGCAGCTTAGCAAGATAATAAGTCTTTATCATGTTATGCCTCATGTGGGAATATTTGCAGCAGTCCCAGAACGCCTGTTCTGTTTCCTCCGCCTTGCATCAGCTCACAGGAACGCTGCTTATTAGGCAAAGAACTGAGAGAATAAGACTGGGAGGGAGGGCACGCATAGGAGGGGAAGAGGGTGGAAGGGTACAGGAAAAAAAAAAATGTCTGTGCCAGTATCTACACTCTATCATCCATTGACTTTAATCTGACTATTGAATTATCTTTCCTGCACTCTGTTTGCTGACTTTCTCCCCTCTGGTTACGGTAGCTGGTTCAACCCTGGAAAACATTAAAGTCTTCAAACCTAAAATAGAATCCACATAGGTTATTCCTATCACTTTTGATAGTTCAATCAATATTTGTGAACAAGAGAGAAAGACTCTCCTGGAGACGGCATATCAGAGAGCTGGGAGCCAAACCTGTTTTGTAATCAGGCAGCAGAATCCTGAGGAGCCTCTGTTGACTTGTGAATTTATAAAGTATTTGGTTTACTCTTCGAGTGACGGAAGTTTTCTCCAGCTTTAGGGACCCTGGACGAATGTGTTGCCATCCTTCATCCCTTTGCTGCACAGTACCAGAAAACTGTCTGTAAGCAATATCCTAGCACACTCTGTATCCTATATTTAGACATATTTGGCAACATTCTGTGGTCCAGAACAACCCAAACAGCCATGGTGTGTACACACATAGCCCTCTTGTTAATATAAGGCCATTTTAAAACTGCAGCTACAAAGGTACACGATCCTTATCAGTTGACTGGCGTTTCAACCCAACCAGGTATATCATAACCAGGTATAGTCACACTATAGGGTTTTCATATTTTGTCCAATCTGAAAATGTGTTTGAAAAATGCTAAAAAAGGTAGCAGTCTTTTGTTCTGCAACAAATAAATTATACAAATCACTTTATTATGACTGCAATCAGCGCTGCCGCTCCCCCGAATCCTGCTGTAAACTTCTGGGGAAAACTAGGTTTGCACACTTTTCTTGTGCTTACAAGAAAGACTAGATTTGGCAATATCCTCCAGTTGTGAAAACATGGACGGTGGGTGTGGAAACAAACTAAAGGAGCACAACTGATCACTCTTTGTATAGAGAGGCTGCTTTCAAACTGCATTTAGTGAGCTAAAACTCGAATGCCTGTTACACAGTGAACTGCCGGTCGATAACCTGAAAAGATAACCCCACTATTTATCTATCCGGATAATATCAGATTGTTGTATTTGTCTTATTGTACAGCAGTTGTTATTGTTTTTTTTGTTGTTGTTGTTTTTCAGTTTTAAATGCAAACAATTATGTAACATTAAAGATTGTATCTCAAAATGTTTTTTGTTAACAATGTGATATAGTGCAATTTGTTTGTTTTAGTCCAAATTACAAGAAATTAACCAAAAGCTATATGTGAATTTATAAAAGATTTTATTAATCCCGACTTGATGGGGATTTATTTCATTCTGAATAGCATTCACAATTAAAATGCATCCCTGTAGTATGCGTCTCTGAGTCCAGAAAAACTCCCTATTTAGTATCAGACAGGCAGCATTAGGATTTGTAAAAAGTGTCAAAGTATTAGGGGCTCCGCTTTTTATTTATGCTTTTGACAGGAACATGAGCTTTGACATGAAGACGAATTGTAATTTAGCAAACACAAGTTACACACCCATATTCTCACACTGCAGCTCTTCCAATCTGGCATGCTACCTAAACCATGACGTTGGCCCTGAGGGTGTATGATTAAACCCCAAACCCAGGATAAAACCCCAGCGACCAAATTTGGGCTCTTATGTCGCCATCAATCTTGTTTTACGTTTACATATAAGACAAACAAGAAAAACAGAGGAAAAAATAGAAATGTCTTGAACAGTGACTTGCATTGTGGCATAGAAAACAATAAATACGTTAGTTATTCTCATTCACATATCCACGCAAGCTAACCATTTGAACTAGGGGATTCCTATGCCTAAAAAGACAAGTTGAAAGGATTTGCTTAAAACACACAACCACATAATTTTCCCTATATTTTTCAATAAACAGCTATAAGCATTCAGTGCAATAACCAACATATACTGCTTAATCTGTTCTGTCTGGGGGGATGCTAACAAGGTGTGGTATTTTTGAGATTCAACGCGATGATTAATAGAAGGCCAGAGGATGGCAAAAACATTTAATCAAAACCGATACACCAAAATATGACAGACAAGTTTGCAGCAGAAAACCAGACCAGACAAGTCAGGTAAACTTTCACACAGAGCTAAAGTCAGCTGCTAACAGCACTCCCTCAGGCCTCTTTGGCTTCAAGCCATCGCTAGCATGTTGGCTAACAGCATCTAGCTAATGCTAGGTGTCTAAGGGTGCCCTGGCCCGACTCCAGCGCTAACAGGTGAACTCCGTTATTCTAGACAGATAGTTAGCTGAGAGCCCGTATCTACAACAGACTGCCTGAAAGGTTATAAAGAGCGTTGACAACCTAGAAGGAGAATATAGTGGCAATAGCCTCCAGGTACGACCTCGAGTGTGCTGTGCAGCTGCCTATAAAGGTTTTCTGTTGGTGAGTGGAGAGAAAAAAGGGGTTGATTGTGATGATCTCTTTTCTCAGGCAAACAAAGGTTTGTTTGTTTGTTTTATTATTTTTCTATGACTGTCTGCCACATGACAATTTGACTTAACTGGAAAAATGAGTTTTAACACAGAAATGTTATTGTGACTACAGAGTCAGGATGAGGACAGCCTACATCGCTCAGTGACACCCTCAACAAGGACAGTAAAGAAATAAACTGCTTATCTACTAAAGAAACTGGATGTTCAGAGAATCCCATTTCCACCAATGTTAATGGGAAGTTGAGTGGAAGGATAAACTGGATGGAAAAATAGAAAATCAACACAGCAAAAGGCTGCAGACTTGAAGCGATTGTGAAGCAAAGCCCATTCAAGAGCTTAGGTTGGGACGTTTTCACTGTCAGTGATGATTTGAAGAGTCGTGTCACCTGCTGGTGTTGGTCCATTGTGTTAAATAAAGTCCCGGGTTTAATCATTTGTGCTGGATTGGCCAGTGAACATCTGTTATCAAAAGCACAGAGGATCTATGGAGTGCTTGCACGAGAAGATGAGAGTCACTTAAATCAACAATGCAGAAAGCTGCTATTAAAGCAGCCTGGGCTTCCTTAATGCCTCAGCAGGGCCACAGGTTCATTTCCTCCTATATTAAACTGTATAGTTTGTATTAAATCTTATTTTGGTTTCACTTGATAATAACATTCTACTTTTCTGAGAAGCTAAGTGGCGGCAGATTTAGGCAGCAGGCTAAATGTGCCAATGGGTTATTAGTTGTAACCCTACATCTGATCTATACTATAATACTATAAGCTTAAATTAACTTTTCTGCGATATTCTAACTCTTATTGATGTACAGTACAATACCATATTTGTACCTTCTCCCCCTCCTCCTAGGCATGGATCTTTGTTTGCTCTTGCATGTGTGAACTGTGAGCCTGCTTCGGCCGCCTGCACCTCTTTGAAGACAAAGTCCCTGTTTACAGAGCCCATAAAGATTAGCCTCCCTCAGTCAGGTGGGTTCTGGAGCCATAGGTAAACACACAATGCATTCCGCACCGGTGAGATCGCTCCGTATGTGTATGCGTGTGTGTGTGTGTGTGTGTGCGTGTGTGTATATGACCGGGGCAAACATCCACTCCTGCCTTCACCCTGACCGTTACTTCAGAGTGCAGTAAGTGATTTACCAGCTCGCAGACTGCCGTCTGTTCGAAAAATGCTGGAGACAGACACAAAGATACACACAAATATTTGTAGAGGGAGCGGACTTCATGCGCACCTCATTTATCTGGAAATCGCGCGTTGGACATTCTTAAAGAGGTAAAGCACGCGTGTGTGACTCACATTTGCGAGTTGGAAATTTACCTGCGCTCACAGGGGTGGAAAAAAACAAAACAAAAAAAAAAAAAAACCCTGTTTTCACCTTAATTTCTCAGCTAGCGGAGACAAGAGGTCGGCTACGGCGTCGAATATCGCTAAGGCCGTATTTAACATGGCAGTACAGAGGTGAGGAGGAATGCAGGGCAAGAAGTGGAAGAGCCGTTTAAAAAGGCAATGTGCCTTTATTTGGATCTAAAACCAGCTAGAGCGCCGCAGAGCAATTAGCAGCTGAATCCTATGAGAGCTCTTTATTAGAATGACCTTCACTGCGAGGGTAGGTGGGGGCCAGGGAGTGGGGAAGAAACACAGGAAGAGGATGGAAAATTTGGAGGAAAACATAAGAAAAAAAGTCATTGGGGAAACATATGCATGACATGAAGGTAAAATAGATGAATAAACCTTGGAGCTTGGTCAAAATTCATCGTAATAAAAAATAATCAAAATTCTGACGGTATGATTTCATCAAGTATCACAGTTTCCTGGTGTTTACATAAAAATATGAGCAGGATTTTTTATTTATTTATTTTTATCTAAATGTAACACTTTTTCCCACTGCTTTTAAATTTAGGAGTAAATTTGAAGCGCTTATTTTTGATTTTTCTATGGTCTCTTTACAAAAACGTAAGTAGTTAGCCTGGGTATCTGCTGTTGTAGGGCCCACAGTCAGCTGATAAACAGAAATGCTGTTTGTAGATGCTGATATTTTTCTGTGACCGGAAATGTTTCAAAACAGCTGAAGTAAGAAAAAAGTATAGTAGTGCCACTTCAGCGACTTGACTGGTTATGCAAAAGATGGCGGAGAAAGCGACACTATTCAATGTTTCACGCTGCCAAAGAAAACTCCAGTTACTCCGTGATAATAGTATGATTGAAAAAAATGTAAAGCTTTGAAATCAAAGTCATAGTAACATTGCTAACATATGTTTATTCTTCCTATTCTCTGCTAAAAGTGTTGCTCTATCACGGCCTAAATGATTTGTAAGTCTTTTTACTTCTTACGGGAGGAATAGAGCTCCATATCTATGCAGGTACATGTGAGAAAAAGGACTCCGTCCACCTAATATTTAACAAGGAAGTGATCTACTGCTAAATCAGATTTTCTACTATTGTCATTGAGAACATCGCCCAGTTTTTACATTTAATTAAATGGGATAAAAACCGAGGAAGAAATAGATAAAATAAGAAATGCATTATATGAAATGGTAAATGTGCCAACGGTTGCCTTTAGCAGAGAAATAATTTCATTTATGATCAAAATTTGCATTACAAGGCAGATGAAATGATTTAATAATACCTGGAAAATGGGCAACAGCAACTTTCAGTAATAAAGAGCGACAATGGGTTTAAAAATAGTGCTTTTAAAAAAATAAATAAATATCAAAGTGGACATGATATAATTTTATACATCGGCTTTCAAGTCGGGCACTTCGCATTTCCTAGTTAATTAATAGATTGGATCAGAGCGAGTTTAATCAAATATAATTGAATAAGTCCACAGTAAAAAAAAAAAAAAAAAAAAAAAAACAGGCCCGACTTTTAAGGAGAAAGGAAGAGAGAATGATAGCATGTCCAGTTCTCAAATTAATTGAATTTTAGTACTTTTGAACTTGGTCCAAGCTGTTGCAGAGGTAATTAATTCGTATCCTATCCAAAAGTGCTAAAACAAGATGATATCCCTAGGGATTATGGAGGGATAAGGACGGAAAAAAAATTTTTTTTTTTTTTTTTTGAGAGGGGGTTGAGGGGGAACAATGTAATAAAAATAAACACTGGTGTCTGCCAATGACAGCCCCTATAATATATTGCAGATTGTTGTTAGTTTTATGTTCTTTTCACCCTTTTTCTCCTTTTGTCTTACAGGCCACAACTAAAAACATTAATAATTTCTCAGGCAGTTCTCATTGTATTAAAAAATGTCTCCTTTATAATTTATCAGAGAAAGAAAAATCTTTGTTATAGTGACAAGCGTGCTAATTAATAGAAGTAGAAGGAACATTGAGAGAGTTCATACTAATTTGGAACATGCTAATATTAATAGAATAATTTATGGTGTAGTATAAATAAATTACAAGGGTAATGCGTTTGAAAAAGGGATGCCTTCAGTTCAATTTAGGAAAAAAAGAGTGAAAAAAATTGTCTGGCTCTTGGACAGGGGCATTAATAAGAGAGCTATTTCACCAGAGCAGAAAAAGGAAGAGACAAACTAAACATGCGCCGTTCACTTTTAAAATGCATCAATATTTCAGTCTCTTAATGAAAATTGGATGAAGAACACTTGTATTTTCCCGCCTTGTTATTTTCATTTGGAGTTAAAGGACTTGTTTAGTGGTGAATTTGTGCGGAATCTGGAGAAGGGTGCTGCATATTTAATTCTTTTTCTTTCTTTTTTTTGTTTTTTTTGTTTTTTCAGTCTTTAAAGAAGCTATCCTCTTTGGCTTTATGTAAACTAAAAGCTGCGTGCTAGGCAGGCTTCAAGACAGGCGGGTAAAACAAAAAGGGAGAGAGAAGTGGACTGGGTCATTACCGTCCTTATTACTCCTCATTAAAACACACCCATCACAGAACAGAGACATTTTCTGCGCACGTGTCCAAATGCGTGCGCGTGCACGTCCCTGGTGTCCCTGATGCGCACGTGTGCGTCCCCGTGCAGAAGTGACAAAAAAAAAAAGAGAGAGAGAGAGAACAATATAATTGGAGAAATGTACGCAGTAATAATAGGTATTCACAAAATGATAATTCATATTAAACAGAGTGCACAAAGTCAGCCTCATTTGCATGTTTTAGATTATATGCATTTCAAAAGTAATTTCCGCAGGGCATATGAATGACATTAATTCCCGAGCGGGTTCTGCTATAGACCTCAAACTATCAAACACTCAAACATTTAACAGATGAAAAAAAAGAGGGAGCTGGTGCCTCGGCAAGGGGAGATTTCAAGGTTAAAGTATCTGAATGTTAATTTTAAACTTCTGTCTTGTTTTGTTTAAAGTCGCTCCACAGCCAAACTAAGAGTTCCGTAACTCAAAAATGTTTTGTTTTTTCTTCTTCTTCCTCTCGTTATTTCTCAGCCGTACCAGTCCGAGAGGGACACCTTCGCCTCCCAATCAGCCACCGTTTCCTCGCTCACACAGCACTCAGGTTCGTCTGGCCTGACGCACGCTGTGAGTCATGTGAACGCTCCACTCCAGAAGCAGACTGGCCCAGTCCAGCAGAGAGAAGGAGAAGAACAGTAGTCCAACGTTAGGTAACATTAGGCTGAGGGGAGAGAGGGAGAGCCGAGGAAAACAATGTGGTGACAGAGAGACAGAGGGATCCCTCTCCTCGTCCTTTTTTGTTCGGTGAAAGCGAGCTCGGGGCAGGAAGCGGGCTTGATGAGTGTGTGATTCCAACGGAAAACTCGAATTCCACAGACAACATTCTTTTCTCATTAGGGAATCTGGATCGCAGACGCTCTCGAGCGCTGGTGTATCAGACGGAGACGATGTGTGCCGTTATCCACCTGCTATCCTGACAAGGACTTGGCAAAGGTGCAGATAACGTAGCCGGAGAAAAGAGGGAAGGAAAGAGCAAGAAGAAAGGGGGCCCGGCATGTCTGCGTCTTGTTTGTGGTTTGTCTTCATCTGCAAACAGAGCTGCTGCCGCTGTGAGCGAGTTAACATGTCATTATCTCATTATGAATTGATGGCTTCAGAGCAGGGGATTCGAGCTGTTTTGTTTGTGAGTGCTCGGTGACTGATGCTAAGCAAACACAACAACCACAAAACATACAGACGCCGGAAGATGAGAAGAAAACTCCAGCAAACATACACACCCACACTGTTTAATAGTATCTCTCTGAACGTACTCTAATTTAAAAAGAAGGACCTGAGCCAGATGAGCGTTTGTCCTTCTTCAGCTTTTCTATAATCACTCCTATTGGAGTGACTGTCAACCCTTTACGTTTCACTCGAGAGTGACAAATGCTTCATGAACATTTAAATATTTGCAAAGAAACTGTCTGATAAATGAAATCAGGTCATTTTCTTTTGCCTCATTCTTGGTTCCAGAGACTGTTCAGAAACTCAAAAATCCAATCGGCTATGAGGCGAGAAGCTTCAGAGGTAACCATTTTCAGTATCAGATGTTAAAAATAAATTCAGAGTTGTAAGAATCCTTGTGCAAGGAAACCGAAACCGTTTTTGCTTCATTCAGGCTGTGAGAGAGAGAGAGCAAGGCTTTCAGCAAGTAACAGGAAGGTTGAACGGAGCAGCGCAAAGTTGCTCTGTTTTATCCTTTTGAGTTTCCAACCTGCGTATGAACAGGAACAGCACTGGGTCTGGAAATCTTGGCAGCCCATTGGACATGTCAAAATTAGGCAAGGATCTACATTCTATAGGGGAAACACTGAATGATGTTTTAGTAAATCTAACCAAAACGATTGTTAATATAGGAAGTTAAGGCCAGTTTAAAATGTCAAAAGCATCATGATTTTTTTTATTTTTTATTTTAAAACACGAGTAAAACTCTGTTTCACAGCAACTCCTCTCTAGCAGCACTTCTACGGCCACGTAACTCTAAGCTGGTTTTTATCTTTAATTTATTCAATCCAAATTCAAGAAACTAAGAGTGTATACGGGAGAACACCTAGAGAAAAAAAAAACTCATTTTGGGGGGCCAGGGAAACATATTTGTTTCTCTCACATGATAAATTCCTCGTTTCTTTTTTTTTCTTACCCCTTTTTCATTTCTTTCCCAGCCAGTCTTAACAGATCTGTTCATCTGAGAAAGATGACAGCAGAAAGAAAAGAGGATTAAATCCTAAAGACGCACGGACCAATTTACTGTGCCACAGGGCAGCTGTGGGGCGCGAGTATCGAACAGGGTCTGTCTGTCTTAACGAAATGACCATCAGGGTGCAGCGCTCTCCGCTGGTCCACTCTGCCTTATCGATGCTGCGCCGCTCTGTCCATTCAGCAGCAAAGAGCCTTCCTATGGCTGCAGCCCGGCTACGGATCAATGTCACGAGGAAATGCAGGCAAACTGCTGCTAAACAGACCGGCCCCTGCCTGGAAGGCTCACGTTGCTTCCAGCTCCCCCCGGTTCAGATCGTTCCTCTAATGGAGGCCTCCGCTGGGGCCCCCGAGGGCCCCCTAACCACCGAAAACAGGCCCCTAAGGATTCACTCCCTCCTCCTTTTCCTTTTTTGTTATCTCCTCATCCCTCAATCGTTTTCCGTCCACAAAGCGATATCGATCTCATCCTGTTTAATCAGAAGTGTTGACTTGTGCTCGCACAGCTTCACTGCGAAAGCCGAATCTGCGCATTTTAGCCACTTACTGCAAAAGTCAAGCCTGACTATTTGGGGTAGCAAAATAAAATAAAAAAAAGAAAAATTAAAAAAATACAGAGAGTGGAAAAATCCCTCTCTTTCTCAATCCCAACAAACACCGCTGGGACCCCTCATTACACGGATCTTGACTAATCATTCTGCCGCATTTGTCTTCTGCAATAACGTTGAAAATAGAAAGGGATGAAAAAAAGGGGAGCGATGGAAAGAACCTGCATATTTGTCATTTCCGATTGTTTACCTTTTTCACGGCAAATTGATTTTTACATCTCCTGTTACTGGAAGCTGTGCGGGCCCGGCTGCCAGGCCCGTCTGACTCTGGCCTCGGCTGCCAAACCCATCCAAAGGGCTTTATGACCTGGCTCTCTGGAGGACTTTTAAGGCTTTCAACTCACAAGTCATTTCAGCGATACAATACTGCTTTTGTCCTGACCACCTTTGTTGTTTTCTTTCTCTCTCTGCTGACTCCCACTCTTTCTTTCTT